GCTGGCTTGAGCGGTCAATTTGGGTCTTGGCCCTCGCACGTGCATTCGCCACTGCGGCCAATTAGCTTCGTTCGCGCCCCGTTCGTTGTTGACTCGCTTCTTGACCTTCGCCTTGGAGCCGCGACCAAAAAGTATTCCCACCAGCCCAGGCTTCAGCTCACTGCTGCGCCGCCCCTCCTCCGTCCCTGGCGCCTGGTGGTACCCGTGCTGGCTTCTCTGAGCCTGGTGAGGCACCCTCTGGCGTCCCGGTGACTCGCACGTCGACCAGCTCCAGCTTGCATGCATGCGTGCTTCTGGCCTTTGGTCCCCAGACACTGCCACAGCCTGGCCGTGTCTGCAGCTGCCGCCTGCACTGGTGGGACGCGCCTCTACGTGGATTGCTCAGGAGTGGTTTAGCCTTCTTGTTCAGCCACCTGAGGTTGTCACTGTTGGCATGCGGCACTGGTACGCTGGACTGCTTGCGCAGCCCCGCGCTTTGCCACGCTCGGTGGCACGACTACCCCTGGCGCCTGGCGCGACAGGGTACAATTCGTTCGTCTTCCTGGTGGTCTCGCCTCTGGGGTGGCTGCATTTCGGCCGCCAGGCACACCTGGCAGCTCCTGCAGCCTGCCTTCAGCCCCCGGCGCCGCTCAGCATCCCTCGGCGGCAGCTTTGGCCGCCGTGAGTGCGCTCGCTGGGTAATTTGGTTCCGCCCGTAGCCCGGGTCGACCCTTGACGCTGCCTGTGCCTTCGCTTGCGGCTGCGACCAAACAAATTCCCACCAACCCATCTGGAAACGATGCCCAAGCTGCCTTGATCAGGGAAGTGCGCGAGCAAGCAGTGGAACAACGATGAGGGGTAGTCGTCAAACCGACCTTGGGGATCAGCCTGGGCAGACCCAGGAATGAACCAAGAATGCCTTCGCGTATCTTTCGCCATGGAAGCCTCTTGGCATCTTGCTTGGGCTCCGTTTGGGGTTGTTTTTTGAGGCCTCAGGGTCCCCCTTGGGGCTATCCTGGGGCCATCGTGGGGCCTTCTAGTGGATTTATTTGAAGACTCTTGGGGTTCTTGGGATTCTCTAGGCAATCTTGGAGGCCATCAGTAAAGCAAAAAAGGGGACGGCGCATATTTCGCCCCCGCCCCCTCCTCGGAAAACTAGACAATTAGCCTCTTGGGGCCTTGTTGGGCCCCTCTCTTGGGTGCACTTGGGGTCGTTAGTGGGGGCTTTTTGGGCCCCTCTCGTTGCCCTATTCGGTCATATTGGATTCACCTTGGGGCTTCAAAAGCCTGTCGGAAGCGCAAAGGCGATACGCCAACCATCATGCCTCAGTTGTGGTATTGGATAGGTTTTTGGCTCTCGGAGGGATCCTCGGGAGACTCCGATGCTACTTGGCGCTGTCTTTGGGCGGTCTTGAGGCCTCTTGGAGGCATGCTGGATGCTATCTTGAACCGCCGTACCATTTTGGATGCCATCTTGGGCTATCTGGGGCACTCCTGGAGCCACCTTTGGCAACATTGGGCCTTCTAACAACCCGCGACCTCCGCCCGTGCAACACCCTGGTGACGGGCTAGGTGGGGAACCTCGCCTGGAAGGGGAAGATGGAATAATGAGGTCGCTAAACCGCCTACACCTCTAACAGCTGGCGGGATTCTTGTTGCCCGTTCTACGCGTAGAGGATTGACACGCGAGCTTCCAGACGTGACATGTGACGCGTCGCGGTCCCACGCCAGAAGTACCGCGACAGGTAACACATCACGAGCGGTGGCTGACGCGTGACGCTCAGTGCCCCCAGGTAGGAGACTACAGTCGGCATCCCTCTCCGCATCTCGGCGACGACGGCGCCATAGCACAGCTGTTGGCCTCGAGGGCACGTGCCATATGGCATTCCTCTTGTAATGTGTGCTGCGGGGCGTCGTTTTCTGAGATTCAGAACGCCGAAGCATGTGACAAACTCCTGCCGCTTGGATTCCGGAGCGGCGTGCAAATACGGTTGGGGCATGTAATTTGGAGTGCGAACCTCCTCCTCGTCCTCCTCCTCCTCCTCCTCCTCTTCCTCCTCCTCCTCCTCCTCCTCCTCCTCCTCCTCCTCCTCCTCCCCCTCCTCCGCCTCCTCCGTCTCCTCCGCCTCCTCCTCCTCTTCCGCCTCCGCCTCCGCCTCCGCCTCCGCCTCCGCCTCCGCCTCCGCCTCCGCCTCCGCCTCCTCCTCCTCCTCCTCCTCCGTGGGGGGAGGCGAGAGGCCCAGGGACAGTGGCAGGGGGCGGAGGAGGAAAGTCGGCGGCGAGGCCGGGCGGGAAGCGAGACGGGGCGGGCCTGCTCAGAAGGCTCGGAAGTCCCCGGGCCTTCCGAGAAGTCTTCCAGGCCTTCCGCGAAGGCACAGACAATTTCTCAGAAGGCGCGAGGGCTTCTGAGAAGTCCCGCCGCCTTCTGAGAAGGCCTTCTCCTTCTCGATTCCCCCCCTCGCTCGCCGCCAAGAAACGGCACCCATGCCCATCGGTGGTTGAAAGTAGGTATTCTTGGATTCCCAGATGCCAATATCCTTCAAGCGCCGTTCTGCTTCAATGATCGAGTGGCTTCACCTCTTCCGTCCTCTTCACGGGGCGGGCGGAGACCCAATCTACTTCCAACGCCTTCCTACTTCATGTTTCTACCTATTTCTTCCGACCGATGGGCACCTCTACCCTGCGCCCGTTTTCCCCTCTTTTGGGCCTCCTGGGCCTCCCTTGTCGCCACCGCTGGATTCTCCTCGGGTTTTTTTTACTAATAATTACCCCAGTGCGACCCTACCTAGAAGTTGGAGCCCCTAGGAAAGCAGCATTAGTTGCTATTCTATGCTATGCTATGCTATGCTATGCTATGCCATGCTATGCTGCGCTATGCTATGCTATGCTATGCTATGCAATGCTATGCTATGCTGCGCTATGCTATGCTATGTTATCCTATGTGCTATGATATGCGATGCTATGCTATGCTAAGCTATGTTATGTCATGCTGCGCTGTGCTATGCTAAGCTATGCTCTGCTCCGCTATGCTATGCTAAGCTGCGCTATGCTATGCTATGAAATGATATGCTATGCTGCGCTATGATATACTATGCTATGCTTGGCTATGGTATGCTATGCCATGCTATGCTAATGCAACGCTGCGCTATGCTAAACTAAGCTATGATGCGCTATGCTATGCTTCGCTATGCTATGCTATGCTGTACTCTGCTCGGCTAAAGCTCAGCGACGCTAAGATGAAGGTAAGCTAAGCTAATATAAACCTGAGCTAAGATGAAGCTAAGCTAAGCTAAGATGAAATAAGCTAACCTAAGATGAGATAAGCAACGCTAAGCTAAGGGGACGTAACTGGGGGAACCGCGGGGCGGATACTGGGGGAACCGCCCGGGGCGCTTTCCACTGCCCGGCCCCTTGAAGCCCAGAGAGTAAGAACCCTTCTAGGCAGAACCTAGGTAGGGAAACAAAACCCTCTCCTCGGTTTTTACTAATAAAAAACCATCGATTTCCCCAAGGGGGGGGACATTTTCGATTCCGTGGTAAAGGGGGGTATCTGATACCCGCCAGACGTGCCGCTTCAGACCCCCCAAAACCAGCCACGAAAGGGCGGCCCTCTGCCCATGCCCCCCCGAACCCTCCAAGACAGCTCAAATCAGGCCCCCTCCCAAATCGGATATCTTCCTTTATCATGACATCTGGAGTACATGATCAGGAAGAGGAAGAAGAGGAGGAAGATAAGGAGGAGGAGGAGGAGGAGGAGGAGGAAGAGGAGAAAGAGAAGGAGGAGGAGGAGGAGGAGGACCTTCCCATTCTCCCGCTTTATTATGGAATGGGGAGTAGGCATAGGGGGGGATGCATCGACCCCTAGTCGCCCACGGATCGCCAACATGGGGTCCGATAGCTTCACCCCGCCCAGGAGGGTGCGGCTGCGCTATCGGGGGCCGATCGCCGATTCCAAGCCGATGTTTCCCCCCCCCTATGCCAGTCCCCCCTCTGTCGTTGCCCCTCAGAGGGGGGGCAGGCCTTCTCACAAGGCGGCCGGCGGAGATTCTGAGAAGCCCCGCCGCCTTCTGAGAAAGCCTGCCCCCTCTCACGCCCCCTCTGGGCTCGGCGCTGATCCGATCCTCTCTTCAACGCTTCCTCCCGTTTGAAGCCAGACGCGGGCCAATCGGCGTCGCCCAGACATGCTAATACTACGTGCCTGCCGCCTCCACAGGGGCGATGCGCGTGCGCAGAAGTCTTGTGTTAAGTCGGGCCTGCCCTCCTACAGGGGGATTTTCAACGAAAAATCAAAAATACCCCAAAACCCCAAAAAGGTCAAACAAAATATTCAAAAAATAGTCCCCAGACTATTTTTGGAGTATGTTTTTGATTATTTTTGGGGTACTTTTATTTTCCGTCGAAAATCCCCCTGTGTGGGGGACAGGCCCGACTTAATGCTAATACTACGTGCCTGTCGCCTCCACAGGGGCGAAGTCTTGTGCTCAGAAGTCTGGTAGTGTACGCTCGGTGGCGGGCTTCTCCCGGCCATGCCGCTGGGATAACGATAGATATAACATATTGTTGTGCAAGATGTTCTGGTCGGATGCACTCCTCCGAGGAGAATGCCATCGTTTTCTCATTCATTGTTTTGCCGATCGGCGCGGGCCCTCGCCCCCCCCCCCGCCCTCCCCCATGGAGTAGGTCTTGGCTGCTTCTGGCGCCTGTTCCACGCAGATGGAGTCTTCCCCCCGTGGGACGCACTGTCGCACATTGTCGCACGAAGCAGAGGCTTGGAGCCAAAGCCTTCCCCTTCCCCCACCCCTCCCGCCCAACGCCGAAGCGGCGAAAGAGGAAAACGCTCGCTATGTCCTGACGGGCGAAAGAGGAAAGGGGGCGAAAGAGGAGAGAGGAAACGGCGAACGAGGGCGAAATGTGAACGAGGCGAAAGAGGGCGAAAGAGGAAAGAGGAAACGGCGAAAGAGGGCGAAATGTGAACACGGCGAAAGAGGGCGAAGGAGGAAAGAGCAGACGTCCCCGCCGAGGTCCCGACGGCGCCCTCCGCGAGCCGAGGAGCCCTCCGCCGGCGCCGGACAGCGTCCAGCGGAGCCCCGCGCGCGCCGCCCTTGAGGGGGGGCCCGCGGCGGGGAGCGCGGGGTGCCGGCGGGGGCAGGGGCGGGGTCGGGAGGACGGCGGCGACGATGACGACAGCGACGACGCCGACGCCGACGCCGAGGACGACGACGACGACGACGACGAGGACGACGACGACGACGAGGACGACGACGACGACGAGGACGACGACGAGGACGACGACGACGACGACGACGAGGACGACGACGAGGACGACGACGACGACGAGGACGACGACGAGGACGACGGCGAGCAAGTGGGCGACGAGGACGACGAGGACGACGACGACGAGGACGACGACGAGGAGCAGTCCATGCAGATGCCTGTCCTGCAGGGACCTGGTGTTGGCCAGGCGAGCAGCAGCAGAACGAACGGCAGCTTCGTATCAAGGGCCAAAGGCTGTTGGTCGCCACCAGTTCCGGCCGAGTGACGAAGTTCGGAGGAAGCCCAAGGGTAGCTGGAGCCGCCTGGGCGCTCTCCGGGCCCATGGGAATCTTCCCTGGCCTCTTGCCGAATGGCTTCTGCTCCCCCCTTCTGAGCCGCTGCAGCGGTCCAGCACACCTTCAGGATCGCACTCCCGTGAGGTTTCCCTCGCTTCCACCCGCCCGCCGCCGCTCGAGGGACTCAGGGGGGGGGGTGGTTCGGGCTAGCGAGGGCCAATCTTGAAACAGTCCGAACTTGTCTAAATCAGGAGGGGACAGAAACACACACACAGACACAATTCATCGTCGATTCCCAGGAAGATGTGGAAAACTATGGGAAGTGGGGGGGGAGAACAAAAACCCAGAAAATATGGGGAAACATGGGGGATCCTGTTATTTGTGTGTGTACTTATTTGTGTGTCCCAGGGCCCCTTCACTAAAACACTCTCTCCTCTGACCGTCCGCCCCTGTCGGCCGCTTGGCGCGTTGTCGAATGCGGCGGCGCCGCCAGAGAGACGGCCTCAGGATGTGGATTCAGGACGGCAGGAGGTATTCTGGAGTTGCCCGTGCCCCCAAGATCAACTATCTGGGCCAATCGGGGTTTCCTGTCGGCGGTTTGCTCGGCGGTGGGGGCCACTCGTCTGTGACCAAGCCCGATTTGCGCTGCAAGCGCGAACTCGTACTATATGCGGGCTCCGATTCGCCGTGGTGCCGTGAGGATTGTCACAGCCGCTGTTTGACGCTTCAAAACATAGGACTCAATTGGGCTCCATTGGTCTCCATACGACTCCATCGTCCTTTGTTGGACCGCACTGGCCTCCATGGGATTCCATTCGATTCCACCAGACATCTCTGGAACACCTGGACGACTCTTTCGGGCTCCAGTGGAGTATACAGACGACCCCACTGGACGTCCAGGATTCCACTAGAGTCCATATGACTCCGTTGGGCTCCATTGGACTCTTCATAGGACTCCCTGGACTCCATACGAGTTCATTGGACTCCGTTGGCCTCCAATGGGCTCCACTGTGCTCCAGTGGACTCACTTGGACACCACTGGATTCAAGTTGGCTCCACTAATTTCCACAGGACTCCGTATGACTCCAGTGGACTTCTCACAGGGATCCATTGGACGCCAATGGACTGTAGGACTTCCCAGGGCTCTATTGGACTCCGTGCGAATACTCATATGACTATTGAACTCCATCGGACTCTGTTGGTCTCCATTGGACTGCACTGGACTCCACGACAAGACTCTACAGGATCCATAGGTCTAATAGACTCGATGAGCTCCATTGGAGTCCATAGGATCCGAGTGGACTCCGATTGCACTCCATTGTACTCTATACGGTTCCATTGGGCGCCATGGGGTAAATTCGAATACCCATACGACTCCATTGCACTCCGCTGGACCCAGTTGAACCAACGGTCCCCTTTGAACAAAATTGTGCTCCATCGGAATCCATCTGACTCCATTGGACTTCATTCGACTGCCCATCCGACTTCACTGGGCTCCACTGAACTCCATTCGGTTCAATGGGACTACTAGGAATCCCATTGAACCCATTGGACTTCATTGGTCTTCATAGGAGTCTACGAGGCTTTATTGCGAATGCCTTACGGCCAGTGCCGCCAACCCTGTGAGGAGGAGGAGGAGGAGGAAGAGGAGGAAGGAGGAGGATGAGGAGGAGGGAGGACGAGGAAGGATGAGCGAGGTTGAGCGAGGAAGAGCGGTGTGAGCGAGGAGCGAGAAGCGAGGAGTGAGGAGTGACGAGGAGGATGAGGAGTAGCGAGGAGGATGAGGATGAGGAGCGAGGATGACGAGGAGGGAGAGGACGAGGTGAAGCAGGAGGAGAAAGAGGAGGATGAAAACCAAGAGGAGGAAGGAAGGGGTGGTAGGAGGGGGATGGGGGAAGCGGCGAAAGGATCAAAGCGAAGGGGCCTCCCTTCGACTCGATGATGAGGTTGCTTGATTTTCTTTTGGTTGGCGCGTTTGAGGAGGAAGGCTCAGGGAGCCATCTGGAGTTCCAGGGAGAGGTGACTTACCCCCAGGACACCCCAATTACGGTGTTTCTCGATTTCCTTCTGGCCGGCGCAGGAGGCCTCAGCCGTGCATGCAAGAGACCATTTGCATGGCCCGCGGGTTGGCTGCTTAGCCTGTGCCATTCCTAACCCAGTGGACACACCCCAGGGAAGCAGCTCCCCCTCCCAAGAAGTTGAAGCGGGGCCCGCGCTGCGGGGGCTCCCAGCAGCCCCTGCTCACAGGGCAGTGCCCCGGCCGCGCGAACCCAGGGCGGTGCGGGCCGCAGAGGCTGCGCCGTGCGGCGCGCCGCCCTGGGGGCCAGGGGGCCCTGCGCGACAGCAGGCGGGCCCCCGCTCCCCGGCGCCCCTCGCGCTCTCCGAGCGGGCGAGGAGCGCCTTCGCGCCACGGAGGCGGCGTGCCGCGCCCTCGGCTCAGGCGGCGGGTGCCGCCGCCGAGGCCGCCGCCCGCGGCGGGCGCAGCGCGTGCGCCTGCGAGGGCGGCGCTCGCGGCGTCGCAAGAGCCTGCGCGGGCCCGCCCGCCGCGTGGTGTGCACACGCGCGCTCGTACAAGGCGGCGCACGCGTACGCAGCGTTGAGAGTAATGCTTTGACGGTTGCCAAACCAGTGCCCATGGTGTATGTCATTTCTGTCCAATCGGCCGACCGCTCGACAACATGTCGGGCATCTGTTTCTGAAACGTCGTTGCCAGGTTGATCGTGGTCGCTTTCGGTACGGGATGGTGCCACCAGAATCCGCGCAATGTCCTGCCTGCGGTTGTGCGAATACGGAGTCATTTCATTCTATCACTCTAGATTCCGCGGCAGAATTCACCTTCGAGATTCCTGCTGGCGGCGTGGCTGGCGGGAGAGTTCACTGCAACGCTGCTGACGGATGCGAAACAACGATTAGCGATGTGTCCCGACGCTTCATGGAAAGCTGGCGGCTCAGGCAAGAGCGACTGACCCAAGCTACGGCGATAAGTGGCAACGGTGCCAGGGAGTGGAGCGACGGTAGCGGCAGTTTCGATGGAGGCAGACGACAGCGACACCAAGAACGAGACCGCTCATGAATTGACCGAGGGATGTCTCAGTGTGCAGCAGAGGGCTCGCGCTTTCGAAGGATTTCAGCTGGGTGTACACGTGCTCGGCAGTGTCTGCTCCCTCAGTGCAGTAGCAGTAGCAGCGGCGCAGGTGTACACGCAACACGTTTAGGAAGACGCCAACGCGAAGCTTGGATCCTCATCTCTGATCGTGGCCGTGGTTCTTGCTGCATTACTCAGCTTCCTCCCCAGTTCTGGGCAATGCACAGTTCAAAGACGAAGTGCAAGGGCTTTCATACCGTGGTGATGAGGCCCCAGAACGAACCCATGGATCTAGCTGCTGGATGCATCAAGCATTGGGGGGCCAAGACCACGTCCGCCAAAGAAGGGGAGGAAATTCGAGGTCGGCGCACATTCTACATCCATGCCTTCGTATCGATCGGCCAGCCCCCGAAGATGTTGAACGTCCCAGCCGGCCTGGTCATCGCGGGGTGCTTGCAGGCCCTGGGCTCTGTGGTCAAGGCGCACCGCCACGGAGGAATAAAGGGGGGAGAGGCGCCTCCGGAGTTCGCTCGAGTTCGCTCCGGAGTCGCGAACGGACCGAAGCAGAGTGTGTGTGTGTGCGTGTGTGTCGAGACGGAGTCGCATGAGATCTGCCGCAGGACGGACCCAGACGAGCCGGTTGCCAGGCGTGGGCCCCGTCAGAGCAAGCGTGACGGCAGAGGTCGGACATCCTTCGGAGTCCCTGCTTGAGGATCGGGGCGAGAGGTTTCTACGTCCGTTTTGCCCTGCTTCTCTCCCACTGCCTTGCGTAGTTTGCCGCGGCCTCCTCGCTCCCGCGCTGGCCCCGCGCTGGCCCCGCGAAGGGCCAGTGTGATGAACCAGGGTGTGCATGCCATCGTTTCACCAATCCCCATCCCCATCCCCATCCCCTTCGAGACCCCCACCAAATTACCCCACGAGTGGGGGGCACACCCCTCGAAACCCGAAGGGAACGACCTATATCCCCATCTAGCCCAGGCCACGCCGCTGGGGATGGGGATCGGTTAAACGATACTCAAAACGCTGGAGCTCGGGCCGTTGTGCATTGCCCCGCTTGTGCGTGAGCCGTGAGACGCCTGTCTTTTCCTCCCGCCTTGAGTTATACTGCCGCAGCGCGTTTTTTTTTTGGGGGGGGGTTTCTTTTCTTGTGTCGTGGGGTGATTTCGTGAGGTGTTTCGGCCTTGCCGTCGTCTATGACGCCCCCAGCTGGGATAGCCAGTCGTGTGGGTGGGTGGGTGCCTGTTTCAATCACCGCGGGAGGCATCGTGCCCTCCATAGCACACGACGTAAGAGAATTGCTTATCCAGCCAAGCAGACAGACCAAGAGCCAGGTATCACCACCACCACCTCCTTCTCCTCCTCCTCCTCCTCCTCCTGCCCGCCGCGACCACAAACGTGTTGTTAAGGCGGGCCGGGCGTTTCGCCGGAGTGATCATGGGTTTTGAAATTTACGACCGCTGCACGGATGGAGGGCGGTTTTCTTTCAGAATGCGGCTCTCGCTTTAGCGCTGCGCGCATTCGTTTTGCAAGCTTGCAGCACCGTCACGGATGGGAGGCGGTTCATTTCCCAAATATGGATCGCGCCCCAATGCCGCGCATATTCGTCTTAAGCTTTAGCTCCGCGCGCATTGGTTTGAAACTTCGGCGACAGTTTCAAGGATGGACGGCGGTTGGTTTTCAAATTTTTGCTCTCGCCTTGTCGCCGCGCACACTCGTCTTAAACGTTTCATTTGGTTCAACAAGTTCTTACGGTTAAAATCCGAGGAACGGTGTTCTGGCACGATTTAGGATTGTCAGGACGCAGTAGTATCGTTGATTCGCGGTGTCGAAGTCGCATGGATTTGTGTTTTGGCACGGTTTAGGGCTGCCAGGACGCAAGAGTCACGTTGATTCACGGCGTTGAAGTCTCATGAATTTTGTTTTGGCACGATTGGGGATTTTTGTGCGTGTGTCCTTCAGACACTTCAATGCCGGCTTTTTGGGTCAGAGGCTTATGAAAGGGGGAACTTGGAGGGAGGGTTTACTGCAAGATCGTTGATGCGTTTCGGGATCGCACTGGTCTTCCTCCTCTTTTTGCTCCTCCCGCCCCCCTCCTGCTCCTGCTCCTCCTGCTGGTCCTCCTCCTCCTCCTCTTCCTCCGCCTCCTCCTCCTCCTGCTCCTCCTCCCGCTCCTCCCTCCCTGCCTCCTCCTGGTCGTCTCCCCTCCCCTCCGCCTCCTGCTCCGCTCTGTTCCGCCTCCGCCTCCGCCTCCGCGACAAGGACCCCGTCGCAGAGCTCCAGGCCCCTCTCCGGGCAGCCGATGCGCTTCCGGGTGCAGGTCCCGAAGAGGTACCCAGGCGTGCACTTCCGCTCGTCCATGAGCCTCGACGACAGGTCTCCGGCGTCACCGCAACCTTCTGGGCCTCCCAGATGGGGTCGGAGCAGATGGCGTCGGAGGATCGCGCCGCCTCGCCGATGCATCGGCGATTCGGCTCGATGTGGAGCCCGATTTTCTCCGCGTCGACGTCACGGATGCACCGCCGACGTCGACGGCGCATCGCCGGCGTATCGCCGGTGCAGCGCCGGTGTAGCGCCGATGTAGCGGCTTTGCGGCGCGAGCCTTGGAGCCCATCTGCTGGGACCCCATCTGGGAGGCCTCTAAACATACTACCCTTATGTCGGGCGTGTCCCCCTACAGGGGGATTTTCGACGAAAGATCAAACATACTCCAAAAATGCACCCAAAAGGTCAAAACAAATTAAAAAAAAGTCCCCAGACTATTTTTTGATGATTTTTTGATTATTTTTGGCGTGTTTTTGATTTATCGTCGAGAATCCTCCTGTAGGGGGACAGGCCCGACTTAATACTACCCACGAGAATACCGAAACCCAGCCCGAAGGCCCCACGTTGCCTTCCATGCTCAGTTGGGGGACGTCCCAAAGCATTGAAGCAGTACGGATGGAACCCGTGCACCCCCGAGCCCAAAATTTGGGACACCAGGTTGGGTTGGGGTGGTCGCCGCTGGCGTCCGCCGCTTCCGTCCGCCGACGCCGACGCCGATGTAATCGCCGCCGTCCGCCGTCGCCGCCGTCGTCGCCGCCGTCGCTGTCGCCGCCATCGCCGTCCGCCGTCGCGACATGCCGCCGTCCGCCGTCGCCGCCGTCGTCGCCGCCGTCGCTGTCGCCGCCATCGCCGCCGCCGTCGCTGTCGCCGCCGCCGCCGTCGCCGCCGTCGCTGTCGCCGCCATCGCCGCCGCCGTCGCCGCCGTCGCTGTCGCCTTCACGCCGCCGCCGCCGCCGTCGCCGTCGTCGTCGTCGTCGTCGTCGCCGCCGTCGTCGTCGTCGTCGTCGTGGTCGTCGTCGTCGTCGTCGTCGTCGTCGTCGTCGTCGTCCTCGTCGTCGTCGTCTTCGTCGTCGTCGTCGTGGTCGTCGTCGTCGTCGTCGTCCTCGCCGTAGTCGTCCTCGTCGTCGTCGTCGTCGTCGTCGCCGCCATCGCCGCCGCCGTCGCTGTCGACGCCATCGCCGCCGCCGTCGCCGCCGTCGCTGTCGCCGTCATCGCCGCCGCCGCCGCAGTCGCCGTCGTCGTCGTCGGCGTCGTCGTCGTCGTCGTCGTCGTCGTCGCGCGTCGTCGTGGTCGTCGTCTCGTCCTCGCCGTCGTCGTCGTCGTCGTCGTCCTCCTCCTCCTCCTCCTCCTCCTCCTCCTCCTCCTCCTCCTCCTCCTCCTCCCCCCCGCTTTGTCGTTTTCCACCCTCCACCAAGCGCTTTTTTGCTGCAAGCTGGTCGTGCCAGATGCTCGGGCCGAGCGCGCGCCTCCGAGGAGGAGGCACAGCACGAGTGTGTTTTTCAAGTCGGGCGACAGAAAACACACGACCAATCCAACAACGATTTTTGTTGGTCGTTCCCCCGTTTCCCCCCCCCCCCCCTCCTGTCCCTCTACAGGGCTGCAGGAGGAATGTTCAAACATAGTCAGCAAATCGTGAATATGTGTTTTGGCGATTTCGGATCTTCCTTCCAGACTCCGCCTGCAGGAGGACATGTCCGACCTAATGATAGTATGTCCCTGTGCGTCCCAGGTCTGGGAGTCGGGCAGCTCCAACTTCCAGGGGGAGGGGGGCTTCGGCATCGGCGCGGCTTTTGCCTTGGTTCCCCTTCGGCCGACCCCGGTGCAAGTCGGCCTCATCCCGCTTCGGCTGGCGCAATTTGGGTTAGTCTTGGGCTTTCTTTGGTTTAGTCCAGCGTGGTAGCCCTTCAATCGAGCTTGATAGTTGTTAATCGTTCCCGCTCAGGTTTCCCAGGAATTGTCTCCTAACTGGAGAGACAGGGGGGAGTGGTGAACCTTGAGAAATCTGGGGTCTCTCTCGTACGGTTTCGGCCCCCTGGGCCCTTGTGGACCAGCCCAGGTGTGAGGAGCGCCACATGAAGTTGGGGTCGAGGGCCCCTGCTGTGAATTTCCCACATGTTTTCAATTTTTCCGCAGTGCCCAACCTCAGGGGAGGGAGGAGGGAGGGAGTGAGAGTGGGAGGGGAGATCGGGTTTTGGCGGGTTCTTGGGGGCCCTGGAGCGGAGGTGGAGATGGGATGAAGGATTAGGGGCGAGGAGGAGGAGGAGGAGGAGGAGGAGGAGGAGGATGAGGAAGCAGAATAAAGCCCCAGGTCTCCGACGTTGTATTTTTTCAAAGCGTCGAACCCCAGGGGTCTCGACCTCCAGGACCCGTTTTTCATCTGGAGTCGCTTTTCGACCGTCCCGAGGCCCAGGAAGGGCCCCCGAGGCCGAAAATGGCAGTAACCTCCCGTCGTGCTCTTCTCACCGCGCGAGGGGTACCAATCGCGGCAACAGACACAGCGCCTCGTCTGCCCGTGCGGCCTCTCCGCGACGCGAAGGGGCCCAGAGAGGAGGACGTCGCTCCTCGGGTGTTGCTAGAAGCACCCCTGGACCAGGGTCCTCCCAGGATTCTCGGGGTGGCCCAGGCGGCCTCCAGGGCACCCCTCACGAGGCCCAGGGGACCCCAGGGGCTCCAGAATGGAGCGAACAGCTGGGGGTCGCAGGCCTAGAGGTGCCCATTTCCAGGCCTCCCAGGGGGCACCTTGGGTCAGGGGCACTCCTGGCAGCACCCGACGGCCAGGTCTCAGAAGTACGCCGAGGACGGCGAGATCGTCACCGGCAGGCTCTCCCCGAACGGCCAGTGGCTGCAGGCCGACGGTCACGGGCTCTACCTGCCCATGCGCGTCGGCGATCCAGCCGGCCCCAGACCTTGACGAACCAACAACACACACCCATACCCATAGAGGGGTCGGAGAGTGCTATGGGTGCGTGTTGTCGGATGGGGGTGCCCGCTCGAACGGGAGCGTTCCCCAGGGTCCGACAACCCGCACCCATACCCATAGCCAGTCCTCCTCCCAACGACCCCCCTATGGGTATGGGTGTGTGTTGCTCGTTCGTCAGACCTCGCCTCCCCTCCGCGCGTTTGGCGGGCAAGTCTTCGTCGTGAGGGGAGCCGAGATCTAAGTCGGGCCTGTCCCTCTACAGGGGGTCAAAACATATTCTGGGGACGATTTTTTTAGAAGTATTTCTGGACCACTTTTGAATATTTTTTTAAATCCCCCTGTAGGGGAACAGGCCCGACCTAAGCCGAGATCTCAGACGAGCTGATTTTTCAACCAGGCTGTTTTTCCTCGATGTCGGCCTTCGGGGGCCGTTTTCAAGCCTGGGGACCATCAACAGTTGATCTGGGGCGAAACTGGCTACAGGGAAGGGGCTGGAACACTTGGGGCCGCGGATAGAACGAATTGTCATGAAGCAAGCGCAGACCCCTCGCGTCGTGAGCAAAACACGGCAGACTTGTTCCTTTGTTGCTATTTTCGGCCTTCGGGGGCTCTCGCCAGGCCCCAGGACCGTCAAACAACGCCTCGGCATGAAACACCGGTCCCGGGGAATGGGTCGAGACCTCTGGGGTTCGACGCTGTGAGCATACCATGATGTCGGGGTTCTACTCTGGATGGGGTATTGATCCAGGGGATGGGATTGATCGTCTGATTGAGTTTGTCTATCCCCCCCCCTTCTTCCTTCTCCTCTTCCTCCAACCACCGCTCCGCCCGTATCGACAGCACATGCCCCTCCCCGTCGCGGATCCAAGAGTGGGCGTTTTGTGTCCCATCCACAGTAATTAGGAGCGGAGCCTTAGGGGAATGGGCCAGTAGCAAATCACAGGAGCCTTGAACACCTTCGTCGTTCCGTCATTAGCGTCGATGAGCGTCTGGTGATCGATGACATGGCGCCGACTTCGCGTCGATTTGACATCGATTCACGTCGACTTGTGGACCTGGTGTCGGCGAGCGCCGATTCGCGCCGATTCGTGCCGATCAACGTCGATTCGCAGAACAAGGCATGGGAGGCTCCCATGGGTTGCCGCAGGAAAAAAAGATGATGATGATGCTGCTGATGATGATGATGATGATGATGATGATGATGATGATGCTGATGCTGATGCTGATGCTGATGCTGATGCTGATGCTGATGATGATAATGACGATGATGACGATGATGACGATGATGACGATTATCATGGTGTCGACGATAATGCTGGTGATGGTGATGGTGATGATGATAGTGATGATGACTATGATGATGATGAGGATAAGGATTATGATGATGATGATGACGATGATGATGATGACGATGATGATGATGATGATGATGATGATGATGATGATGATGATGAGGATGATGATGATGATGATGATGATGATGATGAATAATGTTAATAATATATATGATGTCGATGATGATGCTGCTGCTGCTGCTGATGATGATGATGATGAGATGATGATGATGATGATGATGATGATGATGATGATGAGGATGATGATGATGATGATGATGATGATGATGATGACGATGTGGTGGGGTGGTGGTGGTGGTGGTGGTGTGGTGTTGGTGGGTGATGATGATGATGATGATATGATGATGATGATGATGATGATGATGTGATGAGGAGGGAGGAGGAGGAGGGGGGAGGAGGAGGGGGGGGAGGGAGAGGAGGAGGAGGAGGAGGAGGAGGAGATGGGCCCCGAACATTTTTGGCCGTTTTCAGCCTTCCTGGCGCTGCGCCGCCGCGTCTTCTCTCGGGGCTGCCTGCAGCCTGCGGGCTCTTCGGCCAGTCTCGGTGTTTCGTCGCCGGGCTCTCGGCTGGCTTTCGACCGTGCTGCCACTGCGGACGGCCTTGTCGACCCCAGACATGCTCGCGTCGTGAAAAAATCGCGACGGGAGGTTTTCGGCGATTTTCGGCCTCCGGGGGCCCTCGCTGGGCCGGAACCGTCAGAGAACGACTCGATGGGACGAAACATTTACCCCAGGGAAGAGGTCGCGGCTTCCGGGGAGCCCGT